TTTACTTTTACCATGATCTGTTGATGAGGGCTATACTTAGAATTCAAGTCACATACAGTATATTAGTGATGTTGACATGTGCGTGCCTGAGCTGTTGTTTATTTACAGTATATGTAACGTTATTCTAATGTACAGTTCAGGCTATTAACAAACCCTTAACTAAGACTTGCATCTAAACAAACTGCTGATTCAAGAGTTGACCCTCAGCTGATGATCGATTGTGAAGTGTGTTTGGCTGTCCCTGGAGAGAGCCCTGTGCTCATAAGATCCTCGAGCCCGGGGCTCCCTCCGGTTTGCAGGGCGAGAGGGGAGTTTGAGCTGATGGTAGATGTGGAGAACTCTTCTGCTGTAGTAGCTTTATTGATTAAGCTTTCGTTGTTTGGGTCAGTCCTCAGGTTTTGAATGCATTATGAGCACTAAACGGTTAACTGGCATGACATCTCTGGAACCGGTTGTTGCCAAACACACACAGTATGCTGGAGGCAAAGTCGTTGTTACCCAGAACTGCATGTAAAGCAGGGGTCAAACAGTTGAAGAGTGCATTGACAGATAAGTGTGATTCAGTGGGGAAACCCTGCGCTGTCGGGAAGCGGCACAGAGACGTGTGGGTGCGACAAAAGCTGAAGGCATCAGGAATCTGAGGGCACCAGACAGGGAGTGAGATCTGAAGCGCTTTCCGAACACTCACACCAATCCTGGAGAGTCCCAATCTGACTAACATGCAGCCGATCAATGTGTTGCGTCGGCCTGAACCCGCGCTTAAATGACTGTCTGGAAATCATCAAAGCAGCGTTGCACAATACGCCATGTTTCTCATGCACAGACAAGGTACAAATATTCATCTTGGCGTGAGGTCTGCCATATGGCCAGTTTATAGGCTGTAAATCGGAATTAGTGTTTGATGAATTTCTATGGAAAAGGTCAGGAGCGGGACAGGAGATGAACATGAGGAGGCTATTAAACCCACAGTAGAGTCGCAATCTTGAAGAGCATCTCTGATTGCAGATATTGTATGTCAGCGGTTGTGCAATAATGGATAAAACCACTCCGTTGCTACACGAAAGACATACTATAGTAATCATTTACAGTCAATAATATAGTGTTTTTGAACTACGCTATAGTTACGTACTTCAGTTAATCTGTTGTGGTGATTCTATCATTGCTATAGTAACAGAACATCTATGGTAAATAATCTGTTTTGATTATATACTGTGGTGATTGTGCAGTTGCTATGGAAACAGAACATCTATAGTAATTGATCTGTTGTGGCGATTCTACAGTTGCTATGGTAACAAAACATCTATAGTAATTGATCTGTTGTGGCGATTCTACAGTTGCTATGGTAACAAAACATCTATAGTAATTGATCTGTTGTGGTGATTTTGCAGTTGCTATGGAAACAGAACATTTATAGTAACAGATCCGTTGTGGCGATTCTGCAGTTGCTATAGAAACAACATCTAATTGATCTGTTGTGGTGATTCTACAGTTGCTATGGTAACAGAACATGTATAATAATTGATCCATTGTGGTGATTTTGCAGTTGCTAGCGAATCAAAACATCTGTAATAACTGATCTGTTGTGGAAA